ATTTTATGTAAATTTAATTAGAGCAACTATTTTTGCCTCTGACCCCAGCTGAATTACAGCTTGCATTTCGTTTCGCTCATGCCCCATTTCGTGTAGCGCATGTGCAGCGGCATAGAAATAATAACAATTTATTTTTCTGCTGCTAAACGGAAAAGCCATCGCCAGACGTCAAAACAGAATGCAATACTACATAGAAAATACTTGCTAACCCAAATTTTTGCGCATTCCCTTTTGCTCAAGTAGAAAAACGATTTGAAATGAGAACGAGCTACAGCAAAGCCGCTTGCCGCTTACCGCTTGCCACTTGCCGCTAGACTCGCCTTTGTCTTTCAGCGCCACACGGCAATTGTCGCTCATACGCCCCATCGCACGAGGCGGAGCAAAGTAAAATATTTATTTCGCTGGCTGCGTTGATTTCGTCATAGCCGAATAAATCGAAAACATACGACAAAATGTTGCATGCGTTTCTTTTTGATACCCTGTAAACGCAGCAAGTCGATGTAAGAAGGGGTCTATATGTGAGAGAGGCGGAATTGGGTAACTGAATCTGTAGTTGTAATGAAATGCCGTTAATTGCTATTGTGTATATATGTTATATATGGGTATTATTAACAGAATTGATGAAAATCGATTAGAATAAATTATCAAAAAATTCGGAATATATATAATATTAAATTCTGGCTATATCTAAGTTCTATAACGCCTATAAAAAAACTTTTTAATTCGTATTTAAACGAATATAAATATTATTAGATAATTATATTATTATAGCTATTATATATTCTAGCTATTTACAGGGCATTTTCTAGTCAGTCGGTCAGTCGCCCCACTTGCGTAAAACGCTTTTGGCCAGCAACCAAAACGAACGATATAAAAATTGCAGCTGTCGCATTGGCAGACAAAAGCATCGAACGGAAATTGGAAGTTGGTATAACGAAATGGAATGGAATATGGAATGGGTCGACAGCTGTGCAGGCTCTCAGTGGAAGGAGGGATCGAGTGCGGAAGGGGAACCATCTCGCTCACCTGAAAGACAGTTAAGGGCATATGAAATTCGGCGCCACCGGTTATCAGGAAACCCCACTTCTCGTCGTCCTTCGAGTCGTAAATATCCGATTCGACATCGAAAGCGGGAAAGCCGTCCGTGTCGCCGATGCCGCAGGATACTTTGATAATGGGCGCCTTCTTCTTTGTCTCGGGCGTGGACCACAGCAGGCCCAAGGGCTCCGGCATCGTGATGCTGTTTTTATTATATCTGCTTTCTGCGTTTGCTATTCCCTTTGTTTGTTTACGTTTCGTATCTTTCACGCTCTCCCTCTCTTACGCCTCTTATCGCTGCTCTTTTTGTGCGTGGCTGCTCGTTTTATTTATAAATCTTGTGCGCTCGCACGCTTGCAATCTGCCCCTCCCTCTCGCTCACTACCTCTCCCTCTCACTCTCTCACTATTTGCCTATTCTTTTTTTTACACTTTGTTGCAATAGTTTTTCTCTTCAATCTGCCTTTCCACCGATTCTTTTTTCTTTCCTCTTCTTTTTTGCTGCGCCTGTCAAAATTCACAAAATTTACCCATGCAAAAATAAATAATTTTGTGTTCTTTTTTTTGCCGGCTTTTCTTCGGGCTTTCCGCTGGGCGATGACTGTGCGAAAATTCGCAGTCAATTGAGTTTTCCACTAATGCAAACTTCGCTCATTTGCCGCTCTTATATAATCAGAATTTCACGCATTGCACAATGCATCAATTAGACTAAAAACTTCCACAATTTCCTTTCGCTCTCTGGTATTTCAGATTTACGGCTTAGCCAATTTGCTCCTGAATTTTAATACGTTTTAATTATGAGGGCAACTTTTATTTTAATTTATTCTATTTTCTTTTTTGAAGCGCAGAACTTAATGAATGTTTGCTTGGGGTTTTCCTCTTCGTTTTTTTTGTTGAGGTTTCCACAATTTTCTTTGGCTTCCGCACGATTGCACACGACTCGAGCAACTAAAAACCAAAAGGCAAAGCGCTCAAATAATTTCGAGAAGTTTGCCTTTGTAGTGCATTCGCTTTTTTATAGCCAGCCGCACGGCGACAGTTGCTGCTTTTATTACACCTTTCTAGCCCAAGTGGGGTATATGCAATTATAATAAGTAATTAGAGATGGTTAGTTATAAAAGTAAATGTATAATGGCATAGAAGCTTCATTTCGTTGGGCCTCAACTACATTTACCATGGGAATTTTTATATAAACGAATATGAATCGCCTAAACAGTGAGTTAAAAAGTAAATGCTCACTAATGCGAATAGTTTTTGTACGAAGAAACCAATGCTAAGGCAACATATTCAAGAGTTTCAAGTAAAATATTAAATATTTAATCAATTTCGAATATGAATTGCTTTAATAAACTAATGTTGACATCGCAAACTTCAATATAAATCATTCCCTAAATGAAACCAAAAAACTTCACTTAATTATCTAGCTATATATATAACCCTTTTTTATGCATTTTATATATGTCGGGTATATCGCAGTCGTTGATCATTTGCCATTATAATCGCGCGCACGTTTTCTTGATCTTTTATGTTTGCTTCTGCTCTGCTCTGAGCATTGGGATAGGTCCATGAAAAGTTTTCCCCACTTGTGAATTGTTGTTGCGTGTTTTCTTGTCATTCTTTTATTTTCATGCAGTTCTCCCATTTTTATTTAGCCAACAGACGCACTGTTCAGCTGGTTCTTTTAGCTCTTGTTCCAAGATTTTGTTTGATTTCGAAAATTTCATGATGAAATATTTCTGGGGAAACTCTCATTAGCTTGTTTACTCATGTTGTTTACCTCTGATTATTTTTGTTTATAAGCGTGCCGCTTATCTGCTTAATGTCGAGATGTCAATCGATTCGGGTAATATTAAATTTATAATTATTGAAAATTAAGAGAATTTTTTTTTCGCAGTTACTGAACTCGCCTGTTGATTAATAATATTTATTGCGTTTGAATATAAATCTGTGAATAATAGAGTAGTAAACATGTGTAAATAGTATAACAGATTTAATAGCAAAACATTATAAAATCTTTATATTTCTATTCATAGAACTCAAAGTCCGATATCCTATTTCTTACTTAAATATATGTCAAAGTTCATGTTAAATTTCCGCCTACTTTATTTGTCTTCTAGTTTTACATATTTATATTTACGCATTTGGTTCCACATATATGTATATTTGTTATATATGTATTTAAAACAGTCAAGGGTTACTTTTACAAAATGTTTTCGCTTGAATTGCGCCTCACCTTCTTACCTTTGCCCTTTGTAATGCGAGATTGTTGTAAAACTGTTTAAAAATAAGTTTTAGGCAGATAAATTCAGTTGACACTTGAGAGGAAAAGTCAGAGAACAATACGGACAGCGGCTCCTTATCAGCTGCTACCCGCATATCTTGATCAAGGACGGCCAGAGGTGACAACAACAACAACAGCAACAGCAACTTTTGGTTAATAACATCCACCGATAAGAATAATCAACAACATTTTTGAAACCACTTCATTTATGTTTTCATTTTTGTTTTATTTGCTAAAAATACGATTAATTAAATATGCAATGGGTCTATGATTATTCCTTATAGATGGTATCATTGTTGAGCTCATTGGAGTTCACGTCGAGTATGCCGCAGCCCTGGGCATATTCGGAATCGGGTATTGCGTCAAAGTCATCTTCAACGCCGTTCGTCGCTGTTTGTGACTCTAAATCTTCGCTGGAATTCTCTGCAGCTGCTCGCTTCTTACGCTTGGGCTTCTCTTCGGACGAACTGTCGTCCTTGTCCTGGGCCTGTTCCTTCGCTTTGCCCTTTCCAGCCTCTTCAGATGAGCCGCTGGAGTCCGCTGCAGCTGCTCGCTTCTTACGCTTTGGCTTCTCCTCGGACGAACTGTCGTCCTTGTCCTGGGCCTGTTCCTTTGCTTTGTCCTTTCCAGCTTCTTCAGATGAGCCGCTGGAGTCCGCTGCGGCGCGCCGCCGACGATTTGCGGGTGACGCGGTAGTAGCGCCAATCTCTTCGGAAGAGCCACTGGAATCCTTCTTTTCCTTCTCTGCTCCCAGCTTTTTCTCCTCTGATGAGCCACTCGAATCGGCTGCTCGTCGGAAACGTGCCTCGTGCCTGTGTCCGTGCAGCTCATGTGCCAGCTCATCGGGATGTGCGTGCGAATGCGAGTGCGAGTGGCAATCGAGTTGATCCGGATCCTCAATGGGCTGGCGACGCTCACGCAGATGCTCCTGTTCCGTGTCCTCCATGCTCTGGCCACCCAGCAACTTCAGCAGCTGCTCATCGGTCTCAGGCGTCTCCTGGATGTCGTCCAGATTGACCGGCAAGGTCCATGCCACATCCAGCATCAGCCCTGCCGCCAGCATTGTGATTAGCATCCATGAACGCATCCTGCTCAGTTGATAAATCTGCTCCTCTATTTGTTTTTGAATTGCTTGAATTGTGTATTGCTCGCGCTACGCCTTGTTTTGCTCGACTGAATTGCGCTGCTGTCCACACAGTTTCTTATGAAAGCTTATTATCACAATTGTGGAATTCTGATTCGCCAGCCTCTGCTCTGTTGATAATGCTCGCCGCGTTCAATTAAAGCAGCATCGATTAGCAATCGAGCTGCAAGCGCTGCAGCGGGCGAATCCAAATTGAGAATTTCAGCCTAATGCGGCTTTACTCTGCTTGCACAACACGCCTTTCGCATAAAAGCGAATCACACTGATGAAAGGTACTATGAAAATGTGATGAAAAATGTGACATTGCAAGGAGATGAGAGGATTTTTTTAATATTCCTTATATTATATAANTAACTATGGCTTTGAATTTAAAGATTCAAGGCCAGATTTGCCATCGCATTGGATCATTGCAACCTATTGAAGATGCACAGCAAAAATTCTTGCAAATATACTTCATGGGCAATATGGAAGAACAACTTGACCGGCGTCAAGAAATGAACACAGCTATGAAAAGAGCAATTCTCCATGATTTGCATGCTTAGAAATTTAAACCAACCAAAACTGTGCAATGGAACGCGTTTGGTGATAAGAAAACTGATGAGCAATGTGATTCACGCGTTGATACTCAAAGGAAAATTTAAAGATGAGGAAGTTCTTATTCCTAGGATTCCGATGAGCTCAACAGATATGCCCTTTGAATTTAAACGAATTCAATTCCCGCTTCGTCTTGCCTTCGCCATGACGATCAACAAGTCACAGGGCCAATCTTTGACTATTTGTGGCCTCAATCTAGAAAATGCGTGTTTTTCTCATGGTCAATTGTACGTGGCATGCTCACGTGTTGGCAAACGATCCGCATTATTTGTTCTTGCACCCGACCAAAAAACGAAGAATGTCGTTTACAACAAGGTGCTTGAATGAAAATCCGATTAATAAATTTATCAGTGTATCCCAGCCTGAACAACATAGCTTTCAACAATTTTTTACCTAGAAATAATATAGAGGGCAATGCAACGTTTGCCGGGCCAGCTAGTATTTTTATATATTAAATATTTACTTAACTCAAAATATTTCAATTTTTTCAAATGTAATATTAAAGTATAAAATATAGAGCACTTAAGTGTCGGCTATCGCCGCATAAGCACGTCATGCTTATTCAAATTTCAGAATGCGCAATTTAGTTGAGTGGACTGCATGCTATCTGTGTGCAAATTTTCAACTTGACTTGCATAATGAATACAAATTGAGCCGCTTCTCCATTCGAATTGATAAGGCAGATCAGCAGAGATCAACGTAGCTAGCTAACTGAACGCGCAATTTCTGATTATTTGATTATTTGATTTGAGACGCGGCGCGACGAGACGACATAAGACTCGACGAAAATTTAACAAATCATGAAACTCGAGCATGAATAATACAAAATAGTATATTGTATGTTTCATAACCAAGTCAACAGCTTAGTTTTTCAATAGATAAGCATATCAATGCGTACTACGGTGCGTATGTGCTATAGATTGGACCGTAGTCCATAGTGAGGGCAAAGCATGCGCTATTGACCTAGCCCGAAACGCAAATGCCACTCGTAATCCGCAGCGGCGTCAACAACGGCCGTCGATAAGTAAAAGCCGTAATAAAGTAAAGGATAGGCCAGACGTGCGTCGCATACTCAACGGAAGAGCGAAGCCCAGCTGACTGAGTTGCTATAAAACGTATCTTTTGGCTGGCACGAGAAGACTTTAAGATGCGTCGCCTGTCAAGCGTAAGCATCGCTTAGTTGACGCCTTTTGGGCCAACATTTAGCCGGACACGAAACAATATTAGGGACGAGCGATAACTGTAAAGTCCAAAAGGTGTTGCCTCAAGCGAAATTAAAAGCAAATATTTAACAGCTTTAACAGTCAAAACCTTGAAGCCTGCGCTACTTATATATGAGAGAGAAAAAGGAGAGTGGATTCATTGCAAAGGGCTGATTGAATTTGGATTCCCTGTGGAAGGTCGTGGCATAGCAGCTTCTTGCCTTTCTCTCTCTCTTTGGCAACATCAAAAAGCCAAGTTGGAAAGGAACGACATGAAATGAAACATAACCAAGTGAATTGACGAAGAAGAGCTACTGCATAATTTAAGTGAATTCAAATTTTATATTTGCGCCTTGCTATTTATACCCTGGAGGAAAACTGTAGTGGGGAATATAGGATATAGAATATTAATACCATATTATTATTATAGTTAATATTCTATATTTAATATTAGCATATTTCATTAGACTAAATTAATCAATATCCAAATACATATTTTTTGATAATTTATATTTAACATTTTTTTTTTTTTAAATACTTAATTGAATGTTTAGTATTAAAATACTAATATTTTTTTGAAGTAAGTGAAATTATAAATGTTGTCATATTTTAATTTAGTAATAATTATTATTAGATATATTTATTTTAGGAATAAAATCAGAATCTTTCTTTGAGCGTTTTAGCTGCCAGAGCAGAGTATCTATTAGCTGTTCTACCCGCACGACTTTGCCTTTCAGTTATTGCCAGAAAATATTGCATTTTAGGTATATTTTTTATGCAAATTGCGTTTTGTTTGGCTTACGACACGGCGCACTGCAACATTTTATGCAAATCAACTGGCACCTGCTGTCCCAGCGACAAATTTCTCTTGACTCACACTTAAATTTGTATTCTCCCTAATGCCTCTTTCTTTTTTTTTTGCTTTTGGTGATATTTATTAAAAATTTATCAATGTCATAGGTTGGCCGGGCCATCAATCAACTTTGTGTTGAGCCAAGATTTTTTTTGGCGACCCAAAATCAGAAGCAAATCGAACTCGATTGAAGATAGACGAAATTCCTATAGATTTAATTTTCAGCCCAAAAATATGCAAGAATTCCATTTAAAAAAGTATATATTATTTAGTATAGATTTACGTATCATATATAACTGCGCTTAGTTCACTGAGAATATTGTTACCTTATATATTTTCATATACAAAACGCGCTATATTCTTATTTTTGTTAGATGTATTCACTATAATTACATAATTATAATTGTAATTAATATTTATCTAAGATATTTTTTAATCCATTTCGAAATGTATAGACAGATAATTATATTATATTATTAGATTAATTAGTAAATAGCAACAAAGATATAAATATTTATAAAGAATATTTTTAAAATTTTGTCCATAAATCAAATTGCTTTGGAGTGAAATGTTATAAATTTAAATCAGTCACAACACAAACGATCTACACAACAGACACTACAGACAAAACAACAAAACAAAAACAAAAAAAATTATAAAAACTAAAATTTTGCAAAAAAAATAAAATAAAATAAACAATACACAGACCACAAAAAAACAAAAACAAAAAAAAAACCAAAAGTAAAATACATTATACTAAACGTAGAACAGTTCCATAGATTCCAGCACAATGAGCAGCGCATCACCTGCAAGCTCAGAAACCGTCGTCTCTCTGTACGAAATTATTGAGAATTATGATCTTGACCCTGAGACGAAATTCGTTGAGGGATCAGAGAATATACTGACAATAGTGGATAAATCGAGCAGTGAATCATTGCAGGATGACACAGTTGGTAGCATAATGCATTACGGAATGTATGATGACGCATTTGACACAGATGAAACAATTGAAAAACTTGAAGCTGTTGAGCACTTTGAAAAGGTAGAGGACGAGACCAAGGAGGAAGTGCCGGAAAGGCAAACGAGCAAGCGAAAGTCTCGATTGGAGTTAACTGACATTGACCGACTGATGGCCCATACCGATTACGATTACCTTGACGCTGATGATGATCGTGACGAATATTCGTTAGCAAACGATACTATAAGACTGAAAACGAATTTTCTCCAAGAGTTCACACTGCCCTCAATGTCAGATTTAAAGGAGTCGCGCGGGTCCGAAAGAAAATCCAAGCGTGAGCATGGAACACGTGATAAATTTACGGAAAGCATAGATTATGGGGAAGCATTAACATCGCCACCGTCGTCGTCGTCGTCAAAGACRTCGGCGACAACGAAGACGACGCCATCGTCGACGTCGAGGCCATCAATGGATTCAGATAAGGAGGAGACGCTCTCCGTGGAAATATCGCTCGACGATGACATCCTTGCCAATTTAGACAACCTCCAATTAAGTCTAATGCAGCAAAGAGACTCTTTGTCACATGATAAGAAGGAGGGTATTGATTTGTTTCTGCAAGCCCAAACTGATGCGAATGAATACTTAATTGATGAAGGTCTCGTAGAGATGAGGGCCCTAAAGCGCCGCCAGGACGAGGAATTAGCCCAAATGACACAACAGTTTCTATATCAAATGTTTGATACTGTCGTCGATCAAGTAACAAATTATCAAAATACAGAAAAGGCGAAATGGAAATTGGATAAGGACAAGATCATTCGAAAGCTAATTGAATTGCAAGAAAAATATTTGTACGAGCAAGAGTATAATGCATTTCTAAACAGCAAAATGGTTGAATATTACAAGCGTTTGAAAAATATCAGACCATTCGCGATTCTCAGCCCGCAAATGAACCAAAAACTGTTTAAGAAATACACAGAAGCTCTTACGCTTTTGGATCACAGACTGAAAGTCGCCGCGGAAACTAAAACACGCACCGCCTTTCTAATGTCCAGTGTATCGATGGATCTCTCATATATAATTAACATTGTCATGGGCACCGAAGAGCATTTCGATGACCTTGTGATGAAAGCCCTGACTACCAATAGGTCTGACTACTTGAAGCATGTCGTCGAGCGAGAGCTGCGGTACATGAGTCAAAAGCGTTACGAGATCAGTGACACACGCCTCTTTCTAATCACCAGGAAGCACACATTGGGTCGTATCGTTGATGTGAGTAACTCCAAAATTATATATTGATTATATATTACCGAATAGTACCTTTGATATGTTGCTTTGTTTAATGCATTCTTATAATATCTTAAATAGTTAAGATCAAGGTAATGAATGTCATATTCCTTTTGCAGAGAATCAAAAAATTGGAAACAATCAATGAAGACATCTGCATGGATGACTTTATTACCATACAGAATCAAGTAGTAGCATTGGATAAAAAAATTGAAGGTTATTTTGTACTATTTTTATGCTAATAAGAAAACGCTCTTTCTTAATTTTGACTATTTAAATATTACAGAACGTAACGCTGAATTGAAAAGGATGCGTCTCGATTATCATGCTGCATTGCATCAGACCCAGCACATACACGAGAAAAGCCTGGCGATAATCACCAAACTGGCAAAGTGTCAGATTAAGCTGGCTGACATGGAAAAGGAAGAGGAAAAGCTGATCGAAAGTCTCAGAGAAGCTAAAACCGTGCATATGGATCTGCGTAAAAAACTTACTGAACTAGGCTATCAGGGCGGACTGTTATTCATGCCATCCCTATTGCACGATTTTGATGATAGTGTGGACAAGGTCAATAATAAGAAAGCTTCAATTATAGAGCTGAAAATTGCCATCAAGCAAACGTCTCAACGTGTGGTAGAATTGGAATCACAATGCGTTTAAGTAGCACAGAAACAAGAAGTACTTATTTATATCATCCAATTTTCATCGACTCTACATACATCAACTCTTAAACACAAATATATAATAAACAAATAAACCTCATAAATAAATAAACTAATATGTCATTTTAATAACCATTTCCAATAAAGTAAGGCACGATAATCAGCTCAATTTAATCAGTTCATTTCTTAATGAGTTTGCGTTTCTTTAATCCTAAGTCTAAAAGTATGCAATAGAAACGATTATATCGAAAATAGAAATGATTTTATTTTTGGTTTATTATATTTTAAATATAAACACACAGCAATCAAACGTGATGAAATATATGCAAGATCCGAAGACCAATTAATTGATATTAAATTTATACAAGTAAGCTAGCTAAATTTCAAATTTCATTTGCCAGTCATGCCAGCTGGAATTGTTTAAGTCATTCACAACACACACATTACACAACAAACACACACTACACAAAAAAAACAAAAAAAAACAAAAAAAAAAACAAAAAATAAAAATAAAAACAAAAAAAAAAAAAAAACAAAAAATAAAAATAAAAACAAAAAAAAACACAAAAAAATAAAAATATATAAAAAAAAATAGATAGATATATAAATTAATTAAAAACAAATTGTTCGATGGCTACAGCAGCTAACCTCAGTCCGAGAGCCTCCAGCTCAGATGAAGACACAGCTAAGCCGCAGTTAAAATACATAGGCGTCGATTTTGATGAAACTGAGAAGCATGTCGAGGTGACGCCCCCGATGACGAGCTATTATTTTATAGATGATGAAGATTCCTCGGACGACCTGGATGACGAAAGTAGTCTGCATGAGTCTCTGCAGCCACTTTGGCAATCCAATTCGGCCAAGGAAAGTGATTCAAACTCGGAGGAAAAGGCGAGTCTTGACATTGACCACATAATGGGCTATGACAAAATTGACGACTATGCCAAAATTGAGGCACCCGAGCTAGTCCAAGAAGATACAATCGAGCAGAAAGTGAAATTCTTAGCGAATCTCACAGTGCCATCATTATCGGATATATCCGAGGAACATGAGCTCGATAATACCAAATCGAAGGTTATATCCGATACACAAGGAAAATTTGTAAATCCGATCGACGAGAAAAGCAACAGCACCAGCAGCGAGAAAAGCAACAGCGAAGGCGCCGAGTATAAAACAATTACGCCGGAGAGCACGAAAACTGATTCGATTTACCTTATAAGCACTAGTTCAGCTGATGATATGACCATTAACTCCGACGGACTTGACTCGCTGGATTTCAAGATATTCCAGCCGCCTGTGAGAAAGGAAACCAATCTTACATTCGAAAAAAGCTTAGTTCACGGTTTTCGAACTAATTCCCTCATAGCTCCTGAGCCAACTTATAAAGAGGAATGGATGGAGCTGGCAAAAGGTTTCCTAACCGAATTAATTAATCAAGTCGTCAACAAAGTGGAGACAGAAATTGCAAACGATCTTGCTTCCGACAAATTTGATAAGAAAAAGCTGATGGATGAGCTACTCCTTGAATTTAATAACTGTCTGGTTGAGCGGGAATTCAATCATTTTTTAAATGGTAAAATGTATGAATATTTTAAGCGCGGACAAAATACGAGAACACTATCATCGCTCCCACCAAGAGAACACAGAAGAGAATACCTGCGATATATTGCCGCCCTCAATTTGTTGGACCACAGGCTGAAAGTCGCTGCTGAGACCAAGAAGCGCACTGCCTTTCTAATGTCCAGTGTATCGATGGACCTCTCATATATACTTAACATTGTCATGGGCACCGAAGAGCATTTCGAAGACCTTGTGACGAAAACCCTGACAACCAATAGGTCTGACTACTTGAAGCATGTCGTCGAGCGAGAGCTGCGGTACATGAGTCAAAAACGTTACGAGATCAGTGATACACGCCTCTTTCTAATCACCAGGAAGCACACATTGGGTCGCATGGCTGACGTGAGTATCGCATATTTATAATTAATTATATAATTGATAAGTCTTTTGCAGAAAATTAAAAAATTGGAAACAATTAATGAAGACATCTGCATGGATGACTTTATTACCATACAGAATCAAGTAGTAGCATTGACCAAAAAAATGGAAGGTTAGTTTGAATTAAATAATTTTGGATAAAGATAATATCATTTTTCGCCGTTGCAGAACGTAACTCGGATATAAAGCGTATGAGCCAAATGCATTATAGCGAGTTGCATCAGCTTCAGCATAACCGTGAGAAGGCCAAGATATTGCGTTCAAAATTTAAAATCTATGAATCACTACTCTTGGACAAGCAGATGGAAGAGGACTCGCTTCGCGGCACTCTCTGTGCAGTCAAATTGGAGCGTAATAAAATACGTAAAGACTACTCAGACCTCAGTTATCGAGGCGGACTAATGGCAATGCCAGCATTAATGTACGATTTTGATGAGACGGTAAACAAGATAAAGATAAAGAAGGCTAGCATCGACGAGCTGAAAGAGTCCATTAAGAAGATATCGCAACGTGTTGCAGAGTTTGAAGCCCGATGCGCTTAAAATAACTAAGTCGAACAAAAAAAAAAAAAAAAAAATGATACACATATACACAAAATTATATACATATATAATACACAATGACGATAAACCTGAGAAAATTTGTTTTTTTTACTGTGATCCAAGAATATTTTGATTATCCAATATGCAATTAGGCTAAAGCATCTTATTTATTTATTTCTAAAATTCTCATTTTAAAAACATAATTAGAAAATATATATACTTGTTTGCTCTACATTGCCAAAGTTGACATAAATTAATTTATTTTAAATCACAATGTATATAATGGTAAATATATTATTTCCTATATATCAAAAAAGACACCTAATATATATATTCAGTTGCCATTGAAAATGACAGCAAATCTCTTAATGAGCAAACATAATATATTTCTGGTCATTTTCAGTGTCATGTTTGATACTTTATGTTTGTTTTTCTTTATTTTTCTGCCTTAAACTTAAAATGTTTAATAATTTTATATA